ACTACACAGGCCCCATCCTTCAACCCAAGCGAAGGATCAGGATCTTCATCTTTGAGTTATCCCTCCACAGCCTTAAAGCCCCGGCCCTCATAGCCGGGTTTAAGTCCAAATCGGAGCCCTCGTTCGGCCTGGATCGATCGATCGAAACGCCCTAAGCAGCATCTGGCAAACGCACCCGGAATCAAGAGCAACCCTGCCAAGTAAATAATATAAGGTTTTCTTGTAAACATGGGAACCCCAAAACTGGTGTCCCAAAAACACCCAGTTTTGTACTCTGAAAGTTGGGTTCAAAACGAAAAACCGAGCCTTCCTTCAAGCAGGATACCGATATGTTTTGATAAACAGAGGCAGGGCAATCAATGATCGCCCATCAAAAAACACTCAAGGCTCCTCCTGCTTGCCGCTTGGTTGAAATTTCAACGACTTCCAAGTCCCTCCCAAAAGACGAAGGAGTATACCCCAGCCTTATGACCTTGGTAGAAACGGACGCCTAGCTTGACTCCATTATAGAGTTGGGAGCAAGACCCCCAAAACAAAGAAAAGAGAAACCGGACAACTGAAGAACCGGAGGTTTTGACCGACCCTTTTCCCGGCCGCTCCGGCCGCTCCGGCCGCATCGCGCTCTCGGCTCTGGGTGCGGGGCCGCCGCGGTACTCCTGCAGGAGGCCTTTCGCACAGGTTTCCCCACGGTTTTTGAGGGAAAACACTTCAGGTTGAAAGGGAAACCAAAGCAACAACCATCGTGGAGGTGCCCCTTCGTTGACACATACATGGGCATGTTAAAACACATATCACCCCAGCAAGGCTCGCATGTTGGTCTCGGAAAAGGAGATCACACCAAAACGGTTAGCCCCACCAGAACGGTTAGCTCCTCGGCATTTGAGCCGACTCCAAAATATCATTGTCGCTTCGCTCTACGAGCATGGTCATACAAAAGTTGCTAAGTCGATACATAGGCCCGGTAAAATGCCCAATAAGTTGTCCGGCGGTGCTCGCCTGGCGTTGCCGACGAAAACTATGGAGACGGATCTTCCTTTCGGCCAAAGATGGGTCACGAAAGGGAACGAGACTCGAAGGAACACCGGTCATGGCCGAGGTTCAGCCACGGAGATGGGTCCCAGTTGCCACTCAGCCACTTTCCTTGTGGCTTATAAAGGCTGTGTTAAACCACTGCAGGAGTGGGTTGGCCAAAAAATATCCAAACCTTCTATTTACAATTGCCTTTGTCTTCCCAAAAAGTGACTACTAAAGCCCAGGAACTCAGGGAGTGAGACATCCCTCTTGGCTTCCCTAAAGGCACCTCTGGCATTCTGTTGCCAGCTCCATGCTCAACCATCCACCTAAGTGGGTAGTATCTGACGAGTCACTGCTCTCCAACTAGGGTGTGTTGACAACTGCTCACTTGCTGAGTGCTGCGAATTCGTTGTTTCCCACTATAGTTGCTTCTCAACAAGTTGCAAGGGTAGTTTTCAGTGGGCTGCTTTTAGTCAAACACGCGTACGCGTTCTAGAATGCTCCTGGGGCTTGAACATTTACAAAGGGTTGTTCCCAAACTACCATGTTCCATCAAGCAAGTCTCCTTTTTAGAAACCGGTTGCTTCAGTTTCCTGCCATTTGTCGATCTAAGTTGTTGCTTTTTAAGTCCCCACTGGGCACCTCCTCCCTCCTCAAAGGGGAGGGAGATGTGGTTGTTTCAGGTTGGATCAGACAGCCTGTCCACTGAAGAAGCGAGCGCATCTCAGACGCGCACCACCGGCGGCAGGCACCGAGTTGCCCATAGCACGCTTTGTTGTGCGGGATCTCAAATTTGCCCTCAAAGGGAAAATCCTGTCAATTCAACTGATCACATCAGGTCTTGGACATTTTGTGACTGTGGCGGTTCGGGCTTAGCTTTTTCATTCCTGGCCTCAAGGGGCTCCGCCCCTAACACACACCAGCCAAATATCCCGCGGTTCGAAAACCCCCTGGCCCCAAACAAACACCCAAGCCCGCAAGGCATTGGCAGTTCGCGCGGTTGCCCCCGTCAGGGTCTCTCCCAAAAAGGCAGGGAAAGGCGTATTCAGTTGCTGGCAAAGGGAAACCACAGGAAACCATTGAGAGAGGGTTGGTCCATATTCTGCCGTTCTGGTTTGGTCATTGTCTTGAGGTTGGGAAAAGTGCTGGAGAAGACCATGAGCTGGGACGGTGTGTTTCTCACCCAGGCCTGACGCCGCAGTGCAAAATGCCACACAAAAGGGTGCAAGGCAATGCAGCATAAGTATTCTCAGCCAATACAAATTCCTGGGCTCAAAGCATGAATCAAGCCCACAACCTTGCAGCTGCTAGCTGTTGCTTCAACGGCCTTCGAGCCCGAAGCCGCGAGCGAGCGACCGGGTTGAAGGCGCGGTTTCGTGAGCCGGGGTATTCCTTGAGGCACTCCAAGAGAGCTCCGGTTGATGCCCCTAACATGTTGCGACTAGAGAGCCAGGAAGAAAAAACAACATCATTTTGTCCCTGTTGCCAGAAACGTTGAAACATGCTGAAGCCCGACCGTCATTGAACACTTTTTTGGGGGAGTTGACCTGTGCAACCTTCGAATCACTTGTTGCTCGCCATTTTCGCTTCGCTTCGCGGTCAGTTCCAGGTGGCTCTTAGAGCCTCGACAGGGTAAAGGGTCACGATCTCAGAGCGCCAACCGGCCAAATGACCTTTACGCGGGACTCCAGACATGGTCAGCTCTCCGGACCACCTGGTGACACCCAGCCTCAGGTACACGGCTCAGGCCTTTTTGTTGATTTCACAGGGCCCCTTGCAACCCACAGGTCTGGATATTTGGAACTGAGAAAAGGCTGGCTGGCTAGCGTCCGATTGCCTCCCTTGAAGGGCTGGTGCATGCCTCCCGGTACGAGAGGAGGGGGCAGGGGTTATGGTCGTTCTTTGCAGCATACCAAGGGCAAAATGGGTCCAAATACTGTAGTGATTACAAAATGGCATCGGTTTTCCTTTGATTTGCGTTTTTAGGGTCCCGACCCCAGCAAGGGTACTGAGCCTCGATAAAAAAGACACACACACACACAAACACGCAAACACACAAACACACAAACACACAAACAAACAAACAAACAAACAAACAAACAAACAAACAAACAAACAAAGCAAACAAACAAAGCAAACAAACAAACAAACAAACAAGCAAGCAAGCAAACAAACAAACAAACAAAGAAAGCAAACAAACAAACAAACAAGCAAGCAAGCAAACAAAGCAAACAAAGCAAACAAAGCAAACAAAGCAAACAAACAAACAAAGCAAACAAAGCAAACAAACAAACAAACAAACAAACCAACCAACAAACAAACAAACAAACAAACAAAGCAAACAAAGCAAACAACCAAACAAACAAACAAACAAACAAACAAACAAACAAAGCAAACAAACAAAGCAAACAAAGCAAACAAACAAAGCAAACAAAGCAAACAAACAAACAAGCAAACCAAGCAAGCAAAGCAAGCAAACAAGCAAACAGACAAACAAACAAACAAGACAAACAAGCAAACAAAGCAAACAAGCAAACAAACAAGCAAACAAGAAAAAAACAAACAAGCAAACAAACAAGCAAGCAAGCAAGCAAGCAAACAAGAACAAGCAAACAAACAAGCAAACAAACAAACAAGCAAGCAAGCAAGCAAACAAGAAAAAACAAACAAACAAGCAAACAAACAAACAAACAAGCAAACAAACAAAAAGGCATCGGTTTTCCTTTGATTTGCGTCCCTAGGGTCCCGACCCCAGCAAGGGTGCTGAACCTCGACAAAAAAGACACACACACACACACACAAACACACAAACACACAAACGAGCAAACAAAAAGCAAACATGTCACGTTAGGATGCCTCCGGCTTTGAGTTTCCGCCCCTCCCCCAATTCCATATTCCAGGGGCTTGCAACCTCACCCTCAGCAGAACGCTGGGGCCGAGGCACAAACCAAGCAGGGCAAGCTGGCCCGAGTCCCAGTTGTCCACTGACCCGAACGGTGGAGAAATACATGGACCTGTTTTGGGGCGGAACCCCACTTTGGTTTTTTGAGGCTGGACCCCCATATCAACATTGGATACAGGTGGTCCTGAACAACTGGGTCCCGTCTGGTCGCAATCTAAGCCCGACACTCTCCAAGTCCAGGCAAATTTATTCCACCCATCCGAGCAACGCTGCGAGATGGAACCTAGAAACTTGCCTCGCCTTGGGCGAGGCCTCCGACGAAATGGAAGTTCAGCAAGGGCGAGACACTCGCAGGGCTCAAAATCTCTTCGAGCTCGAGTCGAGCTTGTTGACAAGCGCAAAGCTGTCACAATGGTTCAAACAGGCAGTGACTGGCAATACAGACCGGAGCGCTTATCCACAAGGGCGATTTTGTTGCTGAAAATAGTGCGCTCTCCTCCGCCTGCACGTGTAATGGACCAAGCAACCTTTGAAGAGGTGTCGTTATATAATTCCTGACTGAAGGGCTGATGGTGACCCCGACCCATCCTCAAGCAACCGCATGTTTTGCCATGCCAGGTAATTTAATTCCAAGCGCTATGTCATACTTCGCCTCTTGCCATCCCTGCGTTCGACTCTGGCCAAAAGCCGAGCGAGGGCTCCCACGGGTTCAGCAAAGGCCAATTTCGGGCCATGGGCCTTGGCCGAAACTGGCAGGCCACTTAGGCCACTTCCCATTACGGTGGCATTTGATGCCCGGAACATCCGAAGCCGACTCCATCCGGCTATGCTGGAGCCACTCCTGACCAACAAGGTCCAAGTGCGCTTCGGCGCAAGAAGCGCCGAAGTCACCGTTCACAAAGTCAAGCAACCATTTTGTGCAGTTGATTTCCTTATTTCCTTTCAAGGCCCCACAAAACGAAGTCACAATTGCTGCCGTTGCAGCCCGCTGCAAGGTCAAGTCCGGTTTGCGAGGACAGGTCGATAGACCACTCAACGAGTACCAAGCAAGGCTAGAAATGCTAGAACAGGTCATCACGGAAGCATCCGCAACGGTTCCTCACCTGGAAACTTGACCTAAGTTCGCCCGTCCGCACTCACATCTTCGTTTCGATCCTCTCCACCTGATCGCACACACTCATATGAGCCGCGTACCCTGCTGCAAGTAGCCGCCTAGCGGATAGCCGTTGGTCTTGTAAAACTTCCCAGTGGATCCCATTAAAACCCATATGGAAGGCCAAGTTGTGATTTTAGTCTTTCCCTTTGTTTGCTATACAGGCAGTTGAATCAACGGGGAATAGGAAACCCAAAACCAGCTTCGGTACCGAGTCCAAACGGGCCGCACTCATCTTCCAAGCGCCGATTCGAGGCCGATGGCGTCTCTATGTCTTCGGCCTCTGGGCTTTTTGATCACCACTCACAGAGCTTCAAGCTACCACTATGGTGGGTGACCAGGGGCTTTACCTCTTGGTTTCACATGCTCGCTTGCGCCGGTGACCTACGACTGTGGCAACTGGAAGCGCTGGGATCCCCAAGTGAAAAATGGCGAACGGGGGTACAAACGCATTTTGGCGCACGGTCGCCGCTTTGAGAGGAGCATCGTCTTCCAAAAGTGGTCAGTGCACCAGCCCGTGTTTGCTGGTGCCAGGAGAGCAGGTACTCCGCTTCAGGGGCGAATCTCAACCACTGGCATTCTCTAACTGCGTTCACTAGGGTGGCATCTTCAAAGTTACTCTTTAAACCGTGCGAAAACATATTTTTGAGGACCCCCAAAAACGCAACCGCTGCGAAAATTACATTCTAAATCGTGGTTTATAGGAACGCCCAGATGGTAAATCTAGGAACCCCTCAAAATGAAACCAACTTCAATTGACCCAGAACTACCAACACAGGACCTGCAAGTTGCCTCGGGGCAAGGAACACTTTTGGTTGCCCATGGCGCCTTCTGTGCCTTGATTAGGAATGAATCTTAGGGAACCCCTCCCAAAGTCGGCGAATCAGCCTGAATCCCGAACTCATGTCCACCATTTCGGACCCCTGACTCAAATCCACACCCGTTTCCGGCCCCACGGGGATTCTCAAAGTCAGCCCGCAAGTGATAGCTTTGGGGATTGGAACTAAAAGGACCCAACTCCAATGTTTGTTTATCACTTCCAGAACAGGATGGGCCCCAACAGCACTCCCCTTCTATGTTAGTTTGCTTGGGGAGGATCCTCAAAAATTCGTGGGCCCAGCATTTCGTGTCTTAAATGTGGGGAAGCGCAGGACCAATCTGCTGCAAAGCGCCCGTTCGGGGGCACGCTGGCCATCACAATCCCGCCACAAACTCCCTGCCCCCCTCCTGCAAATTTAGCTGAACCCAAAAGCAGGGTTCCATGTTTGCCTGCAGAGAAGAAATCACAGCAGTTGGGATGAGTTCCCTTGCTTCCCAGCTGCATTTAGAGCATCATCCCTTGCGTCCCTTGTACCCTACCCTGTTTCCACTGCTTCCTGTGGAGCCTAAACCTTCCTTTCTTGGGTTGGACTCGAACCGTAAAACCCTGAAATTCCTTGATACCCTTGCAAAAATGGCTTGGTTTTCAGTGCTTATCTGGGTCTCCTGGTTCTTGTTTCCTGCCTTGTTTCTCATGTCCCATTTGTTCCCTTAGGCTTCCTGTGGGAATCTGACCACCCTTTGGGGTGCCGGGCACGCTGCAAGATGTCCCGGACCCTCAGCAGGATTGACACCACGTCACCCTTGGAGACGTCCCCACGGAGACCCATCAAGCCGGTCCTGAGGCCGTTTTGGACTTGGTTCGATGGGAAAAAAATAGAGGTTTTCTCAGCCAAGGGTTTGGGAACAAACAAGTCAGGCTTCCCTCAAAGAAACCTCTCCACATAAGGCGGGAACCGATAGGAGCTTCAGTTCAGTTTGGGGAATTGTCCCATGTGGAATCCCCTGAAAGGAAACCACCAGGATGGTTCAGTTGTGTCATAACTCATTCCCGAGAGTTAGCAAGGTGAAGAAAACGCCTTCGACCCTCAAGTCCAGTTTGGTCTGGCAGGTTAGCTTTCTTGTTCGTAGATGGGAATGGCTGGTTCAACCACGCCATCACCATTGGTTATCCCAGGGTCATTCCCTAATTCCTAAGAACAAGCAGGATGAAGAGACAATGAGACAGTGAAGGCAAGGGTCCAGCTTTTCCCAGAACCTGGCCTGAAATAGGAACGTCGGGAAACAAGTAGTCAACCAATTGCCCACTTTTGGCAAAACAACATGTGGCTGCCATTTGCAATCCAGGTGTTTGGCTGCATTCTTGATCGCACCGCGGGGGGCGGGGGGGGTGGAATACGTGGACCGGGTCTCAAAAATTGGAACCCTGCGACAGCCGATTCAACCAGAATATCGATATAATCTATTGTGCTATTGTGAAACATGGTTCTGCTCAAACAAAATTTCCCCAACCCTGATACCCTACGTTGATGGGCTTTGTAGGCTCCTCCGTTCCTTACTCCGCTGATGCATGCAAGAAACCAAAACTCTAAATAGGGAACCTCGCAAAATGCCAGCCAGGCACACGCTCGCAAACAAGCGGATGAACCGCAAAACGGGCCCCCCAATTTGTGAAAACAAACACCGTGAAGGCTAAGGCAACCCTAGCTTTCCCCCTGTTGGGCGGTTCCCTTGGAAGGCTACTCTGGCAAACTAACAGTGACCCCCCAACAGCCCCCCGAACCTCAACAGGAATCCTCCAACCCCATTAACCCTCAGGGGAGTAACAAGTAACCTGGGAGATGCCCCCCATTCCCCTAATGCACGTAGGCCGTCATCAGCACACCAGTGAACATGCCAGGGGGTCCCTCCTCCCCCAATCCCAGATTCCACGTAAGCTGTCCTTTACTCGGGGTCCCTTAGTTCAGGGTTGGCTTTGTCAGCTTCCCTCTAATTGATGGTTTGGATTGGCAGCTTTGAGGGTAGTCCAAATCCCCAAACCACCAATCAAACAATTCAGCTTCCACCAGACTTGGAACCCTGGCCAGTGGCGAGGCCTCAGTTTGGGGGTCAGGACAAAAGAGACAAAAGCTTCCACCTCCTCAACCACAGAGAAACAGGTACCCTCAAACAACACACACACACACAAACGCAAAAAACAAATAGGAAAAAAAACAAGTAGACTCAGCATTGTTGCAGCTTCAGCGTCAACAATTCTTCCACTGACAGCTCGCCGCCAGAGTCCTCAGCATTAGCGTTGCATCTGCGCCATACCCAGGCTAGGCCGAAACCACTGCCCAGGGCAAAGTGCAAGAAACATGCCCCGGGTAGATGATCTGGGAGTTCCCCGTGGACGCATTCAAAAAGCCTTTCAAGCTCTACTCAGCATTTCCTCCATCACCCCAGTGCCAGAGGGGTGGAAACTGCCGTGTTTTTGGGCAACATAGTCGGTTGCTGGGGGGATTGTCTTGCCTTAGCTGGGACCAGGATTACCACAGTACCAAGAGAAGTCTCGCGAGCGAGTCTTGAAGGGCTAATGGTGTGTTTGCGGCGCGAATTCGAGCGGCATGACCTTACGCGTACATCAATTCGGTGGATTCCTCACGTCGGACAACCCACCTTGCAATCAAGGAGAAAAACTAATCAAACTAAATTGCTCAGTGGGTTGGCCCAAACTTTCCGTTTGCCACTAAAATGGTCTTCCCCAAAAATGACTCAAGTTCATGAGCTTAGGCAGTGAGTAAATCTGGGGTCGAGTCAACATTATGACCCTGAAACTCGTCGATTCGGCCAAGGCGCGACGTCCAAAATGTTGAAAAGCTCAAACCTCGCCGAAAACCCACGGCGTCGATTGCGGGGAGAGATTCTAGTAACTCCTCCACTCTGTCTTTTGATCTTCTTGGGAAAGCCGGAAACCCAGGGAAAGGGTTTGGGGTTAAGGGTTGCTCTAGGAATGTTCCTGAGTTTGGGCTCCTTGTGGTTCGCAACGCGCTACACATCCCAAACCAGCCGTACAAGTCGGCCCTAAGAGAACGACAAACCCACGCAAGTCAAACCTAAACCCAACAGCTGCCTGGATATCAGCCCTTTGAGCCTAAACGAACCCCAAACCAAATCAAGACCCGCCCCATGACCCAAGCTAGCCTAGAACCCACCCTAAATCAGCCCCGAGCCGCCCAAGGCCCACATGAGACCGGCAATGCTTGGGAGACGGGCCTCCAAACAAAAGCAACCAACCAAACGCAAGCAACCAAGGAACGAACGAACAAACAAACCAGCCAACCAACCAAACAACCCAACCAACCAACCAACCAACCAAACAACCAACCAACCAACCAAGCAACCAAGCAACCAAGCAACGAACCACAAGCCAACAAGACAACCAACCAAGTAACCAACCAGCCAGCCAACAAACCAACCAGCCAGCTAGCCACCCACCCCAACGAACGATCGAACCAAGGAACAAACGAATAAGCCAACCGCAAACAATAAGCACCCTCTAAACTTCCACAAAAACAGGGAGAAAGGACACCGCGGGTTGCTTGGGATGAAGAACTCATGGAAGCCTGGAGTTCTTAAACGCTTTCCTGCTGGGATCCTCAACTTTGTGACATGTTGCCGCCCGTTTGAATTGTCGGGAACCATACGTCCCAGGGTCAAAGCTCATGTGGGTGTTTGCCTTGATGGGCAACCTTGAAATCCTCAAGGTGTTGATGACCACCCCTCACAATCCCAAAATGGCTCCTTTGGAAACAGGACCCCCCCCCCCATGCTATCCGATACCCATCTATCTTGTGAGACATTGTCATGGCAGCCCCAAACACCCAGCGGTAATTAGATAGCTAACATCCCCCTTTGGGTGTTAAAAAAATGTGTTAAACAAAAATCGGGTTCCACTTTCGGGAAGTAAGGGATCAGAGTAAGGGGTCACCTTAGTGCTGGGCTCCTGGATTTGCTTCAGACTGCCTGAAGCCCAGGGGAAAATTGGGTACAAAGCCGCACTGTACTATGTGTGTCTCAAAATTCGGGGACCCCAAACATGCGTTGCTTGGCTTGAAAGCCAGCAAAGAAAAAGAGAAGCTCCCGCAAAAGAGGTCCCCGACCGCCCAAAAAAGCACACACATAAGTCTATATAACTAACATTATCATAAAATATATGTGTATAAATGTACAAATAGAGGAGAGAGAGGGAGCGAGAGAGCAACTATACAAAGGGTACATACCCATTCTTGCCTTGGGGGGGGGCTGTTTTGGCGGCAGTGGGAGCAGAGTTGGAGTACGCATCCGCCTTTTCCCTTACGAGGGACTTGGGTGAGGTGTCCCAAATTCGGTTTTGCAGTCTTCGCCACCAAAAAGGGAAGTGTTCATTGCATGTCAAGGGACCCCTGAAACTGGTTGGTTTCCTGTTGGCCGTCACTGCCATATGATCAACCATGTTCAGGGAATTGGCGTCGTTATGGCGCTGTGCCAAGCCGTGTTTTTTTTGGATCCTTCCCTCTCTCCCTCTCTCTCTGGATCATTTGGAGAGTCCCCTGTTTTTTTTTGTCCCGGAAATTTAGTGAGACCATGTCCTGACCATATTGAGCGCAAACAAGTCTGGATTGACATGTTGCCAAGAAAATCCAAGAAATCCCCACACCTAACTGGAAATCGTGAAGACCCCAAAGGAAAAAGGCTCAATGGATATGGACCCTCCTCCCACCCTTTACCTTACTGAAGGAACTGTCTTCCCCTTTTTGCCCGTTTGTGTGTTTGTTTGTCTGGATGCATAGTGTCTGGCTTTGGGATGTGTTAACATGCACAAGTAGATGTGAGCAGTTTGCATCATACAATGTCTGAGCCTGGCTCACCGCGACACACTCAACTGTCGGCAAATCGGAGTGTTGGCTTGCCGAGCAGCTTGCAATTTTGAGTTTTCTTCGGAATTATCTCTCCCTTTCCTTCTTGTCCAGTCTCTATTTTCATCACTTCGCCTTTGCTCTGGCGGTGTGTGATATTTTCTTCCCTCGCTTCCTTCTCTCCTCGTCGCCGCGCATGATGGAATTTCTTGAAAAATAAAAAGTAAAAAGAAGATATACCACGTCAAAGATAAAGAGGTAAGAGAAAATATGAACTTAATATGCTTCTTCTTTTTACATCTTCCTACATTTGTGCTTCTAGTGTAACTATACTATGGAAGCATATTAGTACTTCTTTATTGTTCAGTTTCTCAAAACTGGGATCAGGACCAAATCCAAACCAGCTGGGTTTCCAACAAAACACTGCCCTCAACAAGGTTGCTTAAAACAAAAACAGACCACCAGTTGAAGACTTTCTCACTTCCGATCGAGTGGCTTGGGCTACGAAGGAAGCCAGCCAGCAACTTAAGTTGCGGGTCCAAGCCGCTTGTTGGAGATATCCACCTCTGCCTCCTCCAGCACACGGACGAACTCGGGATCCTTGAGCCAGGCTTGGAACACCTCGCGTGTGATGTTGATGTGGCATTCCTGGCGCGCCGGCGGGGATCGGGGCAAGGCAAAACACCAGAGGCCTCCCAGAGAAATGAAGCATAGAAATTGCAAATCTAGTGGTTTGAGTGATTTCCGATTTTGAGAGTATATACATATGAAACGCACGAAAACCCCAAAAAAACAAAAACACAAAATGGTTGGATCACATACATGAGGTGGAAATGCAGCACCCACGGGTTTTAGTCACCCCTTGGAACAAAAGGCAAGTGTAAAAGGATCCGTGGTTTCAATAATGAGAACCTAAGATTTTCCAGAGACACGCCTTTCGAAACAACAGATAAATGTGAATGGGGAACGCACGAAATCGACGGTTGGGGAATAACAAGTCCCAACAAAAGGTTGATTTCTCATTCTCTTCAACCATCGTTCTCTTGAGACACCGCCCATTTTCCCAAGGTATATTAGAGAATCAGCCGTCTTTCCGGATGCCGCATCAGATTGCTCCAAAGATCCAATTGGCAGAGTTAAGACTTGGCTCCTGGGAACGGAATAGCAAGCGGAGCAACGGCTTGGAAAATTGGTACGTTTTTGCTGGTGTTTTGCATGAACACGGGCCCAACACCAAAGCGGGAAATCTCCTCAGCAGGCCCCAGCACAGTTTCTATGAATGATCGGCTCCCCTGTTGGCTTCCCTTGTCGTTTAGAGGGGGCGAGCTTCGCTGCTTCAAACAAATTCGATGTTACGAACGATTATAGGAGAGTCGACCCCCCGACCCATCCGTCCCCCAATTTCAGTAAGGTCCTCGTGCTTCCAGATACCACTATAGTAACCAGTGGAAGCCATCACAAGACGACCTGGTCACCTTCCTTGCTTAACTGGAAGCTCTGGGGGTGGACTCCTTGAGTAAGGCCTTGAGGCCTCGATGGGCACCCTCCCAACAAGAATCATGTCAACCCTTTACTCGAAAAGGCTCAAGGTATTTACCATGAGAAATCAGATTTGTCTAAAAAAAAACTGTGATACGGTGTTTCTTGCTTTTCTCTCTGCCCCTTTGACCCACCGCCCACGGCGGGCGAAGCCGACAAAATCCAAGGGATCGCCTCCAAGACCTTGAAGGCTTCGTTGGCGATGCGCCGCTGCTCTGCCTGGTTGCGGCCTCGCACGGAGCACCCGGCCACTGAGGGGCGGGGGGAGGGGGTGCGATGGACACGTGGAGTCGCTGCAAAAGCTGTGGCCATTTCCTTCTTGGAAGAAGGAAGCTGCTGGGGGGGGGGGCTGGAAAATCAGAGGCACCAAGGGAAATTCTGCAGGACGTTGGCCAAATACCCCCCCCCAAAAAAAGAAGGTTCCTGTAGATACCGCCATGCCAGTGGGTAAATTGGTCTTGAACAAAAACGGAGCAGTTGCTCCCCTTGGACCATCTCAACTGAGAGGTTTGTGAAAAGTCCTGTGAGAGGAGAGGGAGTTGATTCCTCTGAAAAAAGGACAGTTTGGGCCACTCATAGTGTCCCGCGAGTGGCCCCCCTCATTTGCGGTTTGACCTTTGAATTATTCCACTTTGAGGTCCTCCTTCCCGACAAGTCTTCCAAAAAACCACTGACAGTTGAGGTTTCTCTTGATGGGGCACGGGGGATTGCCTCCAAGGAAAAGTGCGTGAACAAGCAGTCTTGAAATAGGTAAGTTGCCCCTAAAACGGTCTTTGTGGCAAATGAAAGGAATCTGCTGCGTGTGCCCAACGCAATCAACACGTGTCTCAAGACATGTCGAATCTAGTGAGATTGGGCGGCCTCCATGATCTACTCACTGCCTGATTCTACTCATCTCTTTAATATATACACATCTATGATCAACCCATCAATGTTCTACTCACCGAATCCAGACTCTTTGCGACTCATTTGGCCTGCCCAGAAAGCTTGAAGCCAGAACCGGGTGAGTATACCTCTGCTGTTTGCGAGAGGTATGCAGTCACTTGGATTGTGGAGGTCTAGGCTGGGGATGTCCTTGCTCCCAACTCCCATCGGAAGCTCCGAAAGGCTCAGGGTCCCAGCTCCGGAACGGCTCCCTTCCAACCAGCTAGGAGAATTCCGCTTGGAGTGGCTAGAAAACGTAACTTCAAGCTTGTTGTTTGCCACCAAAATGGTCCAAACCCAAGAAGTGCCTAAAGTCCAGGATCTCGGGAAGTGACTCAACTTCAGCCATGCCCCTTTGTCTCAGAGCTTCCGGATCGTCCCAGGTGGTTTTCTTCCTTTCAGGCCCCGGGCTGCGGCCCGCGTCCGTGAGGGAGGCCAGCTTCTTCAAAGCGTCTTCAGAGACCCGCTTCAGCATGTCCTTGGAGTCCTGGCCTGGCCGGGGCAAAGGAGCCGTGCAGCAGCTGAGCCTGGGTGAAAGTAGCATCCGTGCCAGGGGCATGTTCCTTCCAGAAGTCTGCATCCCACAGAAAGGGGGACATCCCCCGATCACAATCAACCAGAGGGTTATCTGGGGTTGACATTAATGGGCTTGGGGACGGGTGCTGTGGGGGAAGCCCGAGACAAACCCCTTTTAAGGGTGCCCCCTGGCACATGGGCTTGCCAACTCCTTTAAACATCTTCGGGCGCTTTAAACGTGCGGGGAATTGGGTTGCAACCCGTCGGGGCTCCGAAGGGCAGATGTTTGCATCGTGAAATCCAAATTTGTGGGCGGGGGGGGGGGGGGGAGCCGAAGGTCCCGTTCCTCGAAATCGAAAAAGGCGGTCTGTAAGAACTACGGGAGGAACGCAAAGCAACGCAACCAAGGTTTGGCAAAAGTTATTTAACAACCAGATCCTGGAGGCTGGTGGAAAAAAAGAGGCTCGAACATGTTTGAATAAGTTGGTCCAACCCTATCCCTGCAAGGGAGAAAGTTGTGGGTGAAAGTTAACGAATTTGGTTTAGTCACTTCATCCCCTCTACTTACCAGGGAGTTTGGTGCCATCTGCTTTCACTGTTGTCGCGCCTATTTTGACATTGTATCCCTTCTGTGTCTTTTTTTGGGGGGTCCACCTCCTAAAGGCAGTAGCACTCGCAAGCCTGATTCCCAGTACACAAGCCACAAGCCAAATGTTTGGCTGGACTGAGGAATCTTATTTCCCCAACCAAAAGCGAAACGCTTGATTCTGGTCCACATTTAGCGCCCTAAAAATGCAACATCATTTCAAAGGGAATCCCAGAAAACTTCCTGTGGGCTTTGGTCGGCCGCTTGTGGACCAGCACAAGCCGTTTCGCCGAGCGTAAGCCGCGGGTCCTGCGCGGGGCTCGTTGATAAACTTGGCGAGGACCATCCTCGAGCGTTGCAAATCTGCGGACTTCCCGAAATAGCCATGGAAAATTGGGACTAATTAGTCCCCCTGTTGCTGGGGAAATTGAGACTGCCACATATCTCCCAGTTAAAATTGACAATAGACTTGGCATGGCACAACTGCTTTTGACCCAACCAAAAGATCACATGTTCAGATGGTCCGAATTCACTGAAGCTCAGGACCAGCTTTTAACTGAAGAACTGACCGGAAGCGTCTTGCCGTCCTGAAGCCAACACTGTCAGGTTCCATGCTTTTGCGGGATCCGTTCAGCGCCAGGTTTGGGTGAATTGAAAACAAACTCGGGACACAACTGGGTCAACATTTGGTACCACCCTGCATCTTTGCCCTTGACTAGAATGCTGATTGCACCTGATAGTAGAAGGTTGAATCCTAGGCCGAGGGTTGAATGGCGACGGGAGCCTCGGGACCATCGCAACTTGAAGGCTTCAAGGTCTCCTCGCGGGCCATGACTGTGACACGCAGAAAAGGGTTGGTAGGGTTCCTGAAAAAGAAGAGGTGAGCTTCATGAACAAAGGGGCTCGAGGCCCTGAGTCGATTTGGCCAAATGAGAAATGGCATGTCTGTCCTTTTTCCTGGGGTTTGGGGGGCGGACCAGCACAAAAGGTGTTGCCTTCGACCGGGTTTCTGATGTACTTAGTCCGAAAGGAACGCCGGAAGAAAACACCACACCCTCCCTCCAAATCACATGGAACCCGCTGGAGGGCTTGTATTGGTTCAGCTTCCAAGGCGCCGTGGGAAGGTTCTTGCGACCGGTTCCCTTGTTGCTAAGCCCCTACGCCGATCGCAACCCAACTACCTCGTCCTTACCGAACTCCCGGTAGCTCCGAACAGCTCACTCTTAGGCAAATCCGGATGACGGGCCACAGCTCCGGAACGGCTCCCTCCCAACCACCAGCTACAATCCGCTTGGGCAACAGGTCCGAGGTTAACCACGTCCACCTCTCTAAGCCCCAGGCTTCAGCGCACATTCCGTCATCTCCGCGCTCTCGCCAAGCTCCTACGGGGAAATCGTTTGTGCTTCCTTGCGTTTTTTTGGCTGAGGCGGGCGCTTTTTTTGTTGAGGGTACCATGTTTTCAGCTTGGGGTTCAAGGGAAACCAAAGGAAAACCACCAGTCTTGCCCCCCCCCCGCCTCCCTATTTTGACAAGCCCAATTGGGTGCAACCACTCAGCACTCGGGTAGGCGTGCAACCACGCACGTATGTAAGTATATATTCAAGTATGCATTCGTGTATGTATGTAGGTTTGCCTGTTTGTTTGTTTGTCTGTCTGTCTGTCTGCGTCTGTCTCTGTCTCTGCCTCTGCCTGTGTCTCTGTCTCTGTCTCTGTCTCTGTCTCTGTCTCTGTCTCTGTCCCTGTCTGCCTGACTGTCTGCTTGTTTGTTTGCGCGTTTGATTGTTTACCTGTTTGCGTGCTTTCTTGTTCTTGTTTGTTTGCTTGTTTGTTGTGTATGTGTGTGTGTGTGTTCATTTGCTTGTTTGTTTGCTTGCTTGTTTGTGTGTTCGTTCGTTATTTCGTGTGTGCGTGTTTGATTGCTTGCTTGTTTGCTTGTTGTCTGTTTGTTCGATTGTTTGTTTGTTTGTCTGTCTGATTGGCTGGCTGGCTGGCTGGCTGGCTGGCTGGCTGGCTGGCTGGCTGGCTGGCTGGCTGGCTGGTTGGTTGGTTGGTTGGTTGGTTGCGTGGTTGGTTGGTTGGTTGATTGGTTGGTTGTTCGTGTGTTTGTTTGTGGTTGTTTGACTGATTGATTGTTTGATTGTTTGTGTGTGTGGGTTTGTTCGGTTGTCGTGTTGGTTGATTGGTAGCTTGTGTTTGTTTTTAGTGTTTGTGTTTGTTTGCTTGTTTGTTTGTTTGATTGTTTGTTTTTGTTTGTTTGTTTGTTTGATTGCTTGCTTGATTGCTTGCTTGATTGCTTGCTTGATTGCTTGCTTGATTGCTTGCTTGATTGCTTGCTTGCTTGCTTGGTTGGTTGGTTGTTTGTTTGTTTGGTTGTTGTGTTTTTCCTTTTTTCCGTTTTTTTTTTTTTTGTTTTTTTCTTTTTATTTTTTTTCTGTGCTTGTTGGCTTGTTTGTTTGTTTGTGTGTTTGTTTGTTTGTTTGTTTGCTTGTTTGTTTGTGTGATTGTCTGTCTGTCTGTCTGTCTGTCAGTCTGTCTGTTTGTTTGTTTGTTTCATTGTTTCATTGTTTCATTGTTTTGTTTGTTTGTTTGTTTGTCTGTTTGTCTGTTTGTCTGTTTGTCTGTGTGTTTGCTTTGTCTGTCTGTCTGTCTGTCTGTCTGTTTGTCTGTCTGTCGGTCTGCTTGCTTGCTTGCTTGCTTGCTTGCTTGCTTGCTTGCTTGCTTGCTTGCTTGCTTGCTTGCTTCCTTCCTTGCTTGCTTGCTTGCTTGCTTGCTTGCTTGCTTGCTTGCTTGCTTGCTTATTGTTGTTTCTTTTTAGGCTTTTGTGTGTGTGTGTGCTTTTGTGCTTGTGTGTGTACGCGTTTGTGTGATTTGTGTTGTGGTTTTGTGTCTGTGTTTGTGTGTGTGTGCGTTGTTGTGTTCGTTGGAATTACTTGCGTGTGATTGCTTTGTTTGCTTGTTTGCTTTCTCGTTGTATGTGTGCTTGTTTGATTGTTCGTTTGTTTGCGTATGTTTGATTGGTTGTTTGTCTGTTGGTTGTTTGTTGGTTGGTTTCATTGTTTGTTTGCTTGCTTGCTTGTCTGTCTGAGATGTTGGTTTCTTTGGTTACGTCTTTTGTTTGTTTGTTTGTTTGTTTTTTTGTTTGATTGTTTGTTTGTGCGTTTGCTTCCAAGGCTGGAGTGTAAACAACAACTCACTTCCTGAGTCGATGTGCAAAGAAAAGTCCACTAAATGGTCTTCAGTCGAAACTTGTACCCCGCCAAAGGCAAGGCAAACCTCAAACATCAATTTGCACAGGCCCAATTGCCCAATGCCCCTAGACAAAGGGACCCTTTGGGTTGACCGAAGCCACCAAACAAAAAGGAAACAGGGCACCACTGCACCGGGGGTAGGAACATGCGGGGAACCCTCAAACGGTTTCCTAAGTGACCTGCTTTGACCCGCTTCAAACAGTTGGGAACAGGTGCATGGAAACCTCGTGCGAGTTTTGCTGGTTTGCAACTTTTGCTTTGTGGTAAACATAAATGTGACCCCTGCTCATATGCTCGTCAATGAAAGCCAGACATTGAACAAACGAATGCTCAGACCTTTGAGGTAGCATCCGGCATTCATCACGGCCCGGCCTTCTGCTTGCGTTGGTTCTGAGACTTGGTGACGTTGTCGATAAACACCTCGGTTTTGCACAGCGGATGTGAATGTTGTACCCCTTTTGCACCCGATGTATACCTATATTATATATGTATACATGTACATATATGCCTCTTTGCTCAGACAACAAAAACGACGTATGGTTTAGACAATCGCCTCAAACAATTTGGAGTCGGGGCCCTGTTGAGTACGTGCGGGGGGACACGCAGGGGGCTTGCCCACCAACTAGCATAGCCACATTATGTGACCGTAGAAGAGTTCCCCACCACCAGGGAACTCGTCTTTTCCAAACGCAAAGCTCCGAGGCTTCGGGCGGCCATGATCAGGTTGAAGAGCCCCACGGTGACCAGCATGGTAGTAATGATGTAGGGGATGTGGAAGGCGGGGCCAAACCTTCCAGGGCCATCGCCTTCTTCTCGTCATGCAGGACCCAATCCATCTGAGATGGATTAAGCAACATTGTTATTCTTTCATTAGGGGGAACAAAAACATCTTGCAGGGATGAAAAAGTACAGCAAGTGGTCGAACATCCACTGCGACCGGATCCTACCTTCATCCCAGATTTCCAAAAGGAGTAAGCAGCTTCATTTCGAACCCCAGTTTATTTTTTCGGGGGTGTCCCTGGGTTTAGTGGGGATTCATCACTTTTGGAGGGGAACACGGGGTCAACCTTAGTCAGAAGTCCTAGGTCAAATCCTTCCAAATTACCTTGCCACCATTCTGATTCCGTCGCGGAGCCTCGCGCGGAGCGCCACAAAACAAGAAGCCCCTTTACCAGTTGGCGCAGAGGAAAGGCTCGATCCAAAGAAATTTCGGATCACCGCCCGACGTCGCCTTTGGAAGAGCTGCTCCGGCAAAGGGTCCCCATCATAGGTCTCGCAGGCCTCTGTGAAGCACCGGAAGAGAGTGAACATGGAGTTGTGGATGGTGCTGAACTCTGTCCACCTTAGTGGGCAGAAGCCCCGGCGTGAGAAAAAACGAGAAAACATGTGTACCGGGTATATGCCTGTTAAAAAGCTGGCTTATTTGGTCGATGATTTTATTCGCTATTCTCTACTCAGGTTCTACGGTCGGGGTCAGATTCTTGGCTGTTCCCGGAAAGGCTCCCCCCAATCTCTCAGGCGACCTGGGTGTTGGCCACCTTTGGCTCCGGAGTTGAGGTGGGGATACGACTCCCTAAAGCTGGCTACATGGGTTCATGGGTTCATGGGAGTGTGTGTGCGTCTGGTTTTGGAAGGTATCCCGTTTTGGTGGTCTTAAAGGGAACCCAAAGGGGAAACAACCGGGTCCTCAAAAAAGAAAACACCCCAGAGGCGGGAGCAGCTTGAAACTAAAGTCCCATCCCAAAATTAAATGGCACGTGCTGGAACCCTAAGTGATCCGGCTCCCCTCTATCAACCAGGGGTTGCCTTGCCCACCAAGTCTCGGGCTGACACTGTTCCCTTGGAGGCAACACAAACATCGTTCAATAATTGGAATGGGCTTGTGGGGGGATAGAATTAAACTAGCAATTAGTTTGCCCCGTTAATTACTTCAAAGTAATCCGAATCCCCCTCCTCTTACAAGGGGCGCTCAACCAGGGGTTGATTAGTCCTGTCCCCACCTTCTAGCTGGGCTGGCTCAGCCTTGGCATTGAAACAACATGGAAAGGGTCGTCTCACCTGCCGTGTTGCGATTAAGGAATGGGTGTGTTTAAAAATACGGGATGCCCCCCAAAAAAAAGAAAGAAGTGTGGCTGCCCGTCGATGTCCCTTGAAATTAACCCCTATGCGCTACCCTCAAAAACTGCCAGCGAGATCCTTCCGTGTCGGGTTCAGACTTCGTCGCGAAAAGCGGGGGACGGTCGACCTGAGGCCGGAGCTCGTTGAAGAAGGACTGGGTCACAACGCTCATGGTGAACACCACTGCCATCAGCAAGACGATCCTTAAACAAGGGTCAAGTGCGTAAACAGGGATGGGGGCTGGAGGTATGGATGCTGGTATGCCATGGAAGTAAGCTTGCTTTGCAGTGAATGCTCCGTATACAAGTGGTATACAATTAGGTATATGTATATATATATATATATGTGTGTGTGTGTGTGTATGTGTGTGTGTGTGCACGTATGCAAGTACGTATGCCTTTTCTCTGTGTATATATATTTTCTAGATAGCCTCCATAACTCCAAACCTCATACCTCGAAATGCCCTTGAAAGGGGTAAAACAGGGGCCAACCTGGTAAAAGAAAGCCATCCTTGGCGTTTGGGTTTGTCACCTTCTGAGCAACCCGGTTGCACATCCTGCGCTGGTTGGCCCCTTCCGATGCTGGCAAAACACGAAAAGAGCTGCATCCCCACAGAAGCTGCTTTGATGGTTAAAAGGGATCAGGGTTCCCTACCAAAAGATTCGCACTTTGAACTGGCCCAAACCACCCTGCAAGGGCAAATATTGGGGGGTGCCTCCACTTGAAGGAGGCCCTCAAATGGGATGTGTCCAGTTGGCGTGCACTTAGCCCCGAAAGGGTACCAATACATGACAAGCCCAAAAGGTGCCCTGCAGGCCCAATGCCTCCGAAGACTGGACATGTTTTTGGTGTTCCTTCTCTTTGCCTTCAGCGAACATGCTTAGAGAATCCTGTCATTCTAGCTGTACCTCCCCCATTTTTTCGGGGGCATGTTTGCTTCAGGAATTGCTCCAAAATCTCAGGAACCTTGCTTAGCGGGTCTTGGACTTAGCTAAGTTGCTGGTATGACCAGCGTTATACAGGCTACTACCACCCAAACCACTGTATAAATAGTGGTTTCTCAAAAGAAGCGTAGGTGAAAAGCATGAGGGATCAACCTGTGATCATGTCCCCATCTTCCCACGATCGCTCTGGAACCGCCGCATTCAAGCCCCTGCAGCGACCCACAATGTATATGCGCTTTGCTTTCCAACCTCCGGGTAGAAATCACACACGTGGGTGCTTCGTAGCCCCCACCAAACAATTAAAGGAACCAACAGAAACCTAAAGTCTATCGTTTTGCTCAGTCCTGCTCAGGGGGGCTGTCAAAAGTATCGCCCCGTTCTGGACCCTGGTGCTGCACCGCCTTGCAAACGGGATGCAAAAAAAGGGGCCCTAATTAAACAAGAACAGCAGGACACTCTGGAAAACTCTAGGAGCATCAAGTGTGGGATACAAGGTGCTGAGGCTTGAACAAAGCAAGAAAATTAGGGGGCGGACACATGCTGCAGGTAGGAGCGCACGCCTCATGTCTTGCGCATAATTCCCATTCTACACGTCCGAAGCTAGGACAGACAATGTTGCCGGTTGTGAACCCTCCAAACAGAAAAGTGGAAGAAACAGACAGATTTGACAAACCAAGCATTCCACCTTGGCAGCCTGTCCTATCCACAGGTCTTGGAGGTGTTTGCGCAACTTCGCTTACACCAGTTCCACTCCCTAAACACCGAGCCAGCCGAATGTGCGATCTCAGCCGAACCTAGGCCTGGACACGTATGGACCTGGGCCAATATGATGGCTTCAAAGGGTTTTCCCCAACTGTGACGGCTGGAAGGGTCTTAGCCAGGCATTTGAGCAAGCAACGATGCAATTCCGATGGATGAGTCAACCATAGGGCGATCAATCCTTCAATATTGAACACACCCCAATATTTGCCAGGCTCCACCTACTTCCGGGGTCGACGTGCACCCGTTGGTTGGCCGTCACCTTCCTTGGGCTCGTTCACCATTCGATTCTCTTTAAACCATCTCCTTTCGGCTTCCCAAAAAAAAATCAGTTGGTTCCCCCGTGGTTTCCAAAAGGTCCCTGGAAATCCACGCCGTGCGACTCGATCGCTTCGGCCCGAGGGGCGCCCAGAAGAGCGCCTTCAGCCCCGAGAAGAGGCCCAAGGCCATGAGCTTCAGCTCCTCGGTCACGAAGAATCTGCTTCATTCGCTTCGGGTTTTTTTCGACGACACATGGGTGGCTTGTCTTGTTTATTTTTCTCAAAAAGAAGTGGAACCGATGCTTGGGGTGGCTTAAAAGGGAAGCCAAAAGGAAAACCATTTCGGGGACATTGGCTGAGACGCCCCCGGCACCAAATAAACGCTTGTTCATGGTGAGATTCCCTTGACCCAACAGTGGAAAATGGAACATGTTCCGAAGCAAATGAACGATACGGGTAGTGTCTTCCCAAAAACGGCCAAACGGCTTTCCGGTTGGATTTCCCCTTAAAACCACCAAAAACGGATCCCAACAAAACGACACTCCCGAATATGGGCGGCTAAAATTCAAGAGCAAAGGGTTCTGCAGGTGTCCTTTCCTTTTTTACCGAGGTGCCATCCTCGGTGCCATCTTTTGAGTTCAAAACCTTCGGATCGTCAGCTTCCATTCTTAGAAAGAGGGTAGGGGGCGCCGGGAAAGTTGAAAGTCGGCAACAAAAAACACTTCACCTTTTCTCACTTGAGTGGATCGGTCAAAGAAACCATTTTTTGTCTGCCACTCAAATGGTCCAACCCCAAACAAGATGCAAAGTTTAGAATAATTTCCCTTCGTTTTGTTTCTCTACCATTGGGTTTGGGTCTGCCATCCGAGGTCGTTTTTTTTTTTGGGGGGGGGATGCCTCTAAAGTACCAGGCAAAGAGGATTCACCATTTGAAGGCAACACCCCGCCCGAATGAAGAGCGTCCTTGAAGGCTTTGAAGCGCATCACCCGCACCAGGCGCGCCAGGCGTGCCAGGCGCAAAACCTGAACTCAAAGACACACACACACACACACACACACAAGGCCTTCCTCTAAAACCCGGATTTCTGCGCAGGGCCAGTGTTCCGGGGTTGTTGGGGAGAAACCTAAACCTTAAAACCCTAAATCTCAACCCTAAGCTTAAACCAGCCCTAAGCCCAACCGGTCCTGTGGGGCAGAACACGTGGATTGGGGTTTAAAAGATTGGACCAAGACATTTCAGGGTTTCAGCTTTCCTCTGAGTGCCCGCTTGCAGGTTGTTTTTTGAAGGATACATTTGGGACAGGGTTTGATGCAACGTGTGTTTCAACAACCAAACCCTGGCCATGAAAAAGGAACCTGAAGGAGAATGCTTTGTTCCTCAGATGATACCAGCAGGGAGTTAAAACGTAACTCTTACCAGTTATGAGGTCCAGGAGGCTGCGGATTATTTAAGGGACCTTGCACACGGCGCCCTGAGATTAAGAACGGTTCGGCCGCTGATTCAGTGGACCCTCCAAAGGACACACCATCTTCCATGGTTTGCCCTCAGGGACCCATCCCTAGGTTTTTGCTTTGGTCACGTACTTCATCTGGCTGTTTCTCAAAACCGTGGTCCAAAATGTCCAAAACTGTTTTGGCATCCCTTTACCAACCAAAAAGGGGTCCACCATTTTGAGAACCTCAGTCTGGCCTTCCGTCCTCCCGTTCGACCGTCGGCACCGGCAAAAATTGGGACAAAGGGCAACGCCAATCGAATTTCTACCCTTAAGGCTTATCACCTCTTCAAGCCCAGCCCACCCCTCATGCTTGGGACTGACCATAGCCCAAAAGGGACTCAGAGGGTGGCATTCAACGAGAGGCTCAGCTCAACGGGTCGACGGTCCTGTTCTTTCGGCTCCGGTTTCGCGGCCCGCGCCTTCAGAAGACTCAGCTGGGAGCGAGCTCCTGCACCTGCCAAGGTGAACCCCGTTGAAAAGGGAAAAGGTCCCAACCTCAGCCCGCCACAGGGGCATGGCGTTGAAGGGAACAAGCCCAGCCGAAAACAACCAAAACAAGGGAGGGTCAATTCTAGGTGTGGGCTTTGTAAGCTTGTAAGGCAGTATGTACCACTTAAGTGATACATATCCCCCATGGCTCCAAGACCTATACCTGAAAACCCCCTTCATGACTTACGTTGGACATTGTCATCACTATTCATCTCTCGGGGATGGGGCAGGTACCCTCAGAAAACCATCACGTTGCGGATGTTTGTGTCAGGCTGTCAGGCACCGTGTTCGGTCAACAAACAATCTTGGCCACGGCCATTATTCGGATGGAACACTTGTGGTAGTTGCCGAAACTCGCTATGAAGGGGGTGATTTCCATCCCTAACCTCAGTTCCCATCCCTAGCTCAAGTAAAGGTGGCACGCATACCCAAAAACAGACTTTGGTTTCACATCGGCTTCCCTTTAAACAACCCGAGGGCCCTTCAAATACCCTTCAAACACAAGGGGCAATTCCAGGTGCGGATTTTGGAAGTGTGGATGGGTACCAGCAAAGCAGTACGTGCAACCCGGATCAACAAACGCCTGGCTGATCAAAATAGGGGGCGTCCCCTTTTGGTGGGGGTTCGTCACTGTTGGAGGGGAACAACCCGAAATTTTTTCGCACGGGTTTATTGAAATGCAGGGTCAACACAACCTCCAAGCTGCTTTGTGAGAATGCCCTGGAACAGAGACACAAACCGTCACATGGCATCTTGTTTCAGGGGACCCCAAATGGTGGCTGTCCTCTTGGTTGTCCGTTACAATCAGACAAAGGGTATCCTCCAAAAAGGCACACCGACATGGCAGGATCCCAACGACGAATTCCATTCCCGGATCGCCTCCCTGCATGGCCCGGCCAATGTACGACACGCTCAGCTCAACCGCCGAGATCATCAGGCAAGTGAAGTCGAAGATGTTCCAGCCTTTCGTTGCATCGAAACGAGGATACAAATCCAAACGCCGCTTTTCAGGGATCAGCTGAATACTGAAAGGAACAAGATTCAGCTGGAAGGATACAAATCCAAACAGAACCCCCTCCGTTCTTTCCATTGCAGGGATCCGTTCCTAACTCAGCCGGTGTTCGGGTGTCTTTTCACTGGCCCCAGCTGCTATGCTTCAAGTGGCCTTAGGCCTTGCGATGTGGAAAGAATTACCCAAAGGTCTTGACTCAGAGCCATAAGAGCCATGGGACGGTAGTCCTGATGGCCCCTAGCCACTATTAGGTCGCAAAAATCATTGCTTCCAGTGTCCATTGGAACAGGTAACCAGTGCAAAGCCATCATGTGGAACCTGGAGGTAAGAAACCCTGGAAACCTACTACACTGGTAACTGGAAGCACTGGGAAAGCAGAGAAGCCCGATGCTTTCAGCAGCACTAGAAGCACGAGCACTCACCTTCGAAATGGTCGGTGAAAATAAACCCGTGTCAATCGAAGAATGGCCTTATTTCAAATTCCGGCACCCTCAAAATCATGTGATCCCAAAACCTCAACAAAAGAGAGGGCCAAATAGTATCGACAATACTCCAACAATCATGGAAGTGAGTTCCGAGTGCTGAATTTAAAGTACACTTGTCCGAAACCATCCGATGGTTAGCAAAAGAGGCACGCGGAATGGAGCCCCGCCCACGTCCTGCGGCAATCTGGGGCACAGGCTCCAGTCAGGGCCCACCCAGTAGCCAAAGCCATCAAAGAGGAGAAGCTTCACCAGGCACTCCTCAGAGGGGTTCAAAGCTGAGGCAAGCAGACCAAAATGTCGCTTGCTTGCTCAAAAAATTGGGGGGGGGGGGGGTCCTGAAAATGATCACTACAAAATGATGGTTTCACTACATGACGGTTTCCTCAAAAGCTAGACAAGGACTTAAATGTTGTCTCTGCTTCTCTTTAACCCGTCTGCCCGTCCCAAAAAAAAACAGACGGTCAATACAACAAGGGGTTGAATTTCTGAATCGCGGCGCCAGCGTGTAGATACCGAAGAAGACCAGCTCCAAGACCTCCCAAAACTGGCTGTCCGGGTCCTGGTCCGCACCTTCAGTCAGCTCTCTGCGGTTTTTTTTTTTTTTTTGAAACACCCGCCAGTCCCCCCCAACACCTTGAAAGGGCAGAGCGGCGGGGCTGAGGCCTCAAACAGGAGAGGGGTGGGGCTAAGTCAACCACAAAATGGGCAAAATGGAACCCTGAGATACGGTGAGGGCTGATTCGCTAGAGCCAAGCAACATCCAAAAAAAGAACGGTAGGAGAAGCCAAGTAACAGTCTAAAGTCCTCATGCCGAACAGAGACCATTCCGGACAGCTGCGGTCATGAATGTAGGGTGCTCTCGTTGTTGGAGCGCAGGGTATCAATCGTCTGATGCTTGCGACTGCCAAAGGCTGTTCGATTCCTTCCGGCGCACCGTCAGCGCCCACCAAAATCGATTCCCAGAATGCCGAGACGCTGATTCCGATGCAGAGAGCGTTGAGGGAGATGACAAAGACAATTCCGACCTCGCAATCTCTCTGCACAAATCGGTGGAGGTCGCCTTTGCCAAATAGTGGGACTAGGAAACCCTGTCCAATAACCTGGAAATGCAGCAGGAAGACCCTTGAGGCTGGAGGACCCCGGTACCTTGTGGATAGGGGGGGTAGTGGCCCAAATGGCTCAAACAGCGGGAACCGGCTACACTCAAGGCCATCCCCCTCCCCTTTCCCCGACCAAAATCCCCAAAGCGCAAGGAGGATTTGGGGCAACAACCCGGATGTCCCCCAGGCAAATAAATAGATGGCATGCAAATGTCCGCGGGTTAATAAACCCGTCTTACTAATTTCACCCGGGGTGATTAGAACGAAACCTAAACCAGTGGAACCCATCTCTTTCACCGAAACTGCACCCATGCAGAAATCGGCCTTCGGGGAATCCCTAGGAGGAAGGGTGTGGGGCTTGGGGGCCCCCCTGCGACTCCTCTGCCAAGGACGCCCCCTTTCATTTGAGTATGAACTGTTATTGGAGAGCACTTTGCTCAAAGGCTGAATCCATATGGTTGTCAAAGGGCCCCCCAGTAGGGTCCCAATATTTGTGGCTAAAGATGATTTGTGTGCCGTTTCTGACCCCACTACGACCCTGATGTGAACCCCTGGTTTATGAATAAAACATAGTCAACAAAGGGGCCCTCAAATGGACATAGGCGCACAAAGGGCTCACACAAGCAGCAATTCCGTCATTTGCGTATGGCCAGCGGCCATCTTCAAAAAAGGATCAATCTGAATCGCCACATTTTAAGACCCCAATTGATAGACCGCAATTTCAGGGCCAAGATCTACCTCAGCTTTGGCTCCGGACTAAAAACGATACGCTTAGATTGGAGTCGCGGACAAATAAATTAGTCCCCGCAAGAGGGAATGGGAATTTTAGGGCTCGTCCCCTGGGTTTTTGGTGGGACATTTCGAGACTAAAAAGAGAAAAAGAGAGAGAGAGGGGGGGAGAGAGTGGCGGTCCCGCCATGTCCCTCCCAAATGGATCGCAGACTGGAAAATTTGCCCGAACCTAAATTTGTGCTCACCGTCAGCCAGCCAAAACGACAATTGTGGCCCCCTGCATCCAGAAACGTCCTGCAGAGAGCAATGCGCTGACGCCGCTTCATGGTATCCTGGTCCTTGGCCAGAGCTTTCAGGACGTAGACGGGGGAAATATCATGAAACAACCCTTTCTGCAGTACCAAAGCGGGCCATCCCTGTGACTACTTTGTCTTGAAGGGGGCGGGTCACTTGATTCCCCTTGAAAAGTTGCAAAACACTGTCCAACAAAGGGGGAAATTGAGGACGGGTGGCGACTTCGAGAAAACTCACGGAAAACGGAACATCGCCCTAACACCAAGGTTTTCCACAATCACCCACACTGTTTCACAAGGGCATCCTCTAGATCAGCTGATCATCTTGATATTCCATATGGGCGGCATCCTTCAGGCCACCCTGAGGTTCTTCAACCACTTCTGTAAATATTGGGTAATGACCTGGCCCCCTCTTTCCCCGCTTGTGAGGAATTTGTCGTGAAAGCCGATGACCGGCTCAGGTCATAAGCACACAGAGGTCCCAACAAAGACCGCTGGCTGGCCGCTTTGTACTCTCAAGGGCGAGACCTTGGCCCAACTCTCACGCCTAAAATAGTATGTTCAGATTCTGCTCAGGGGGTCTGGTTTTCAGTGAAATCAGAAGAAAACCAGCCACCTGGTTGTGTCCCTCATGTTGAGACACACCCATACTTGGTCCTTGCCCCCCCCTGTCCAATCATGGAAGCTGACGATCTGAGGGTTCTGGGTGACTTTACTCTGGCTCCATGATTGTTGGAAAATGGATAGTCCCCCTCTCCCACCCCCTAAGGGAAAAACAGAAAAACACACACAAAAAAAAACAAGTGAATGCTATTGTAAACATAAATGCATGAATCAATAAATAAATGGGAGACCCCGGAAACAGGTTGGACCCCTTGATGCGCGGGCAAAGGGAGCACGTCCCAAACCCACAGCAGCAACATGGCTTCAAGTGGAAAACGAAGAACAGCGACTGGACATTTCTACCCGGTCATCTTGAGGTTCAGACTGCCCCCTCATTTGCCAGGAAGGAGGCTAACTGAGGGGTCCTAACCGCTAAGCTAACTCAGCGTTGCCAAATCGAGATCCCACATTCCCAACTCAGCTTGGGCAGGCGGCGTTCTCGAACTTGTAGATGCGATTCTCTTCGTCCAAGGCCCTGAAAGCACAACGAACTCTGCTGGACATCAAGGACGCCCCAACATGGTGCAACAACATAAGCCTGACATAAGCAAATGTCAATGTGCACGCAATCAACCTGTCCATTTAGCGTCTCGATTTGGATCTAGGGGGCACACAGACTGCCCTGGTAATGAAAGGTTCACCTTTTGGGGCTATAACCAAAACTTGCCGAAAAGAGGAAACTAAAAGTTCAAAAACTCGATTCGCTTTGGGCAAGTAGTGAGTTTGAGCTTTTGAGAAGCACGGAGGCCAAAGAAGCCACATTTCCGGCCTGTTCAAAGCCGCCGCAGTGTCCAGAATCTCCTCGGAGAGCCGAGAACGGCTGATTCATTCCATGTCCGCTCTCGCTACGCGCCAGCTTTAGCCAGCTTCGGCCCGCTGAAAAGGCGAGTCCTCGAACAAGCATGCTAAGGGTTTGTTGGGCTCCATGTTCATCAGGGAACAAAAATGCGGGGCTAACACGTGTCAAGGCCGAATTACCGAAAGGGATCCCAATAACATTACCCCCCCTGCAGGTGAACAAGCCCTTGCGGAAGAAAACAAAACACTAGCTGGGTAGTGCTCTCCCATTTCGGCTGCTCGTTTGCTCATTTGCTGCTTGTTGTGTGGTAAAGAAAATATCCGTTGCTCACTTGCTCCTCCCCAAAAACCAGCCAGCTAATGTTTCGAAGGGGTCTCTGGTGTCCATGTTAACTTGAAGGGAGTATATGTTAAGCTGGGAGGCGCCACGCTGGCAGAAGTCATGGCTTTTGTGAACCCTTCCGTCATCAGCAAAGGATTTGTCTTTCCCTCTCTCTTTACCTCTCGTTTTTTTCCGGGGCAGGTTGTGGGCCCAACTTTTCGGTAGGGTAAACTCCTTGCTAGTTTGTTTGCTGGTTCTTGGATTCCACGAGTTGGGCTAACCCCAACCTGGTGCTTTGCAAGGCCAGGTAACCCCTTGGCGAGTTTCTCGGCGTTCCCTTGAGTTCTCTCCGTTCTTCCCCCCTTCTATCACAGGCCCAGCGGCCGGAGGACTGCCCGCCATGAGGCCCGGATCCCCGCGCAAGGCGAGGAAGCCGTTCACGTCCAGCTCCCTCTTCCTCAGGCCGTGTTTTCGGTAACCCTTCTTTGGATTTAACCGGTGGTCTAGTGGTCTGGTTTGGCGGTTTGGAGGTTTGGCGGTTTGGACTTTTTGGCGTCCCATTTGATTACCCTTTACAAAAGCCATGAGTTCAAATTCATATCAAACCACCAATCGTAACCTGCGATGTTGACCCCATACTCATCAACCCCCGGGGGCTGTCCCTGGGTTCGTTCCGAATCATCACTTTTGGAGAGGAACACCCTACCAAGAAACTGGGGTTGGTTCATATGGGGGTCAAAAGTAGTTGGTGGTTTGGATTGGTGGTTTGGGTTTGGATTGGTGGCTTGGTGAATTGAACAATTGGAAACCACCTTCTAACCACCAAACCACCAATCCAAACCACCAATTAGAAGGAAATTGAAAACGAGTTTGTCTCAGCTTGTCTTGTAGGTTGCCCGTTAAACAACCTCCCAAAATAGTTGCCCTTTAACAACAAAACGACGCACTCAAATCCTGCGGAAGAAGTTCTCAACTTGTTCTGGCGAGTCTTAATCCTGGGTCAAACGGGAGGAACCCCCTCAACGCCCAAAGCCCGTTGGTTGTGGAAATAGCCTCCAAATAACGAATTCGCCGTTTGAAGGAGCGCCGCATGGGTGAGCTCGTTACCCCAAATCGGTACGCCCCACGTAGGGTTGGGCCAACCCCCTGTTTTAACGTGTTGAAACACCTATTGCTTGAACCCAGCTCGCAACACTTTGCCCAGAGAACTCGGTTGCTGAGTAATAAACCCCTGGGGGGTCCCCTTTTAGTGGGTTCATCACTTTGGTGGGTGACACCCTGGCATGCCGGGCTTGTTCATCAAGTGCTCAAAAGGTCAGGGCGAACGCTCCGTCAACCCCCTGGGGAGCTTGTTATGATTTTGTCCAAATGGGCGTGTCTTAGAATTGGCGACCCACAAAATGGCGGTGTCCCTTTTGGTTGCCAATAAAATTCCAAAAAAGGCCAAACGGGGGTGCCCCTAAAAAAGGCAAACCTCTTTTGGCTCTGGTTTTTCTTTATTTTGAAGGGAAAGTTTGGCCTGCCTTAGTATAGAACAGGTTAAACAACCGGGAAGGGTCACAAATGAACCCTGTACTCAGCGCGCTTTTTCCTTGAGCCATACGCAGTCGTAATGATGAGACTGCGCAAGTGAGACATTCATGCATTGGGGTTTTACATGGTTGATAAATACATCACGTTACAAACTACACCCCCCGTGCCCGAATGTGAAACAGGAGGACAAATGAAAGGGATGAAACAACCAAAGAAACCCGATCGGCATGAAGTCCTTTTGCAGTACACAAGCACTTGGATTCGAGCAACCGGCAGTTAAGGTCTTCCGCCTCCACTGACCGTCGCTCTCGCGAGGCGTGCTCATGCACTGTACATTGATCCTCGGCCAACATGGATTGAGAAGTATAATGAATATTGAATTTGAAATGTAAATGGATGTCAGCCGAAGATTGAAAAGATTGTTGAAGAGATCGCTCATTCATCGCCAATCCCAATTGCGGGAGCTCTTCCACGGGCGCTGATCATCAGACCACCACGAGTCCCAGGACTGGCCCCAGCTTCCCCAGTACGACTGGCTCCATTGACGATCTTGCCATTGGCCACCGGTCTCCCGGAGCTGCGGAATGGGCTTGCGCGTCACACCGACAACTGCAGGGAGCGGGGTGGCTCGTCCAGGGATTTCGATGCCGGGGATCTCCTCTTCGACGAAGCAAAGCAACTCAACCAATACCATTTCGGGGTCTCCCACAGACGAGAAATCCCGGGTCCAGCCCATCACGGGGTAGCGGTTGCTCTTGTCAAGGCTTCCATACAATGCAGCAAATTGTTCTGGTTCCAGAAATCTGCCACCATGCACCACATACACGTCCTTCGGATCAACCTCCTGCACGTCCTCTGTAGGCGGCACCAGCGTTAGCCGTGCGTGATATTTCGGCACAGCAACGCTTCCTTGGATCATTTCCTTTGTTCTCCCGAAACTCGGAATAATGCATCGTGCCACCTTTCTCGATAAACTCGAGGGCGGACGGCGTCAGGTCTCCCCGCGCGGCAGTGTAGGCGTAGAAGGGGTCGTTGATCAGCCTCTCGTACAACGTGGTGTACTCCTTGTTGCGAAGAACTGCTTTCTTGGCGATGTCCTTCATGATCCCGAGGCCCCCTCTTGCGCTTCGATCCCCTCGCGCATCCTTCCGCTGCGTCAAGATCTGAGTCTCAACCTGGTCCATGGAAAGCGGCACGCCCAAGCTGTTGGCCATCTCCTGCAATCGGACGACCCTGGCTATTTTCTTGATATCGGGCATGCGCTCCATGAGACGGTCACACTGGAAACAGTTGATGGTGCCGACCGGGATGAGGATTTTGCAGCGCGGGCACTCAACGTCGGGGATGTGCATGACCTCCGCGAAGCGCCAATTGGTCGACTTCTGCTTGTTGGGATCCAGGTCCTGCCACAAACCACTCCGGCCTCGGGTTTCCCCGGGCTGCTGCTTCACAGCTCGGGCCCAGTTTCTGTAGAGGCCATAGCGGGCGGTCTCGAATTCAAGCGCGACCTGCTCTTCTTTCGGGAGGTTCTCGTCGTAAACGTCCCTGACCTTCGTCACATTGCCAATGCGGTGGGGCCGCGTCATGTCGCGGCACGCTGTCGGGGCCCACTGTTTGTAATAGAGCTTACACTCCTTGTCGGCCTTCGCCATGAACGATTCCAGCACTGGGGTCCCGACAACGCCCTTCTGGGTCTCTTCCCGATACTTCTTGATGCTGTCCTGGTAATTCCGTCTGACACTGACATACATCCGGTTTGACCAGATAAACTTTGCACATTCAGCGTCATAGGCGTAAATGAGGACCTTGTTCGTGATCCAATCCTCCGTCACCAGGGCTTCCCCGTCTCCGGGTGCGTACAGCCGACATCCCAATTGGATCAACATCTCCACATCGACGGCGATGTTGATGGGTCGGTCAGCACGCGCACCCCCCGCCTTCCGGCCATGCCTGTCCCAAGGAGGCACTACCGTTAGGTAGGCGTGACCACGCGAGGATTGCCGGTCTCCCATTCCGCCCGGAAAGATGCCCATGTAGATGATGTCAAAGAAATTCTGCATGTTGCACGTGTGGTAGGCGATTTTGGGCAGCGCCTTTCGGCGTGCGTCCGAGAAATCTTTGCAGAAGCCCGGTCGCACACCCTTCTTTGCGTGCTCAATGGTGTAATTGACATCCATTGCCATGGGATCTCCAGGAATATTATCAAAGCCGCTGGCCTCGGTCACCCAATCGTTGTGGCCGGTGAACGCGCGAATTCGTAGCGGCATGAAACTGAGCCCGTTCCATTGCTGCCCGGCCGGCGCGTACTCGACATAGACCTCGAACCGATTCGATGTGGACGTGGCCTGAAGAAGAGTGTATTGGGTGCAGTTCCAGTCATATCGTCGTTGGATCCATTTGGCGACGGCTGCATAGTCGAAGGAGTTGTCCTTGAGATTGATCTCAGGGATGGATCGCGTCGCATGTTCGTGGGCATGTCCTCGAACCAAATACGACACCTTCTTGCTCAAGAACGTCCTTCTGCCATAGTTCTGGATCTGGGGAATCTTGATTCCTGAGCACTTGATCCACTCCCTCTTGGGTTCAGCAGCCTGGCCACGGGTCTCCCCGGGCTTTCCAGCAGCTTTGGAAACTGCCTTCGCCTTGGGGATGATCTCCGGGCCACGGATCTCTCCGGGCTGAGTCTTGCTGGTCCCAGCCACGGACGCCTGATCACTGGATGAGGCAGCCTGCATTGGCATTGCCTTTGATTTCACCTTTGGTGTCGCAGCACTGAGAGCTGCAGTCATTTTGTTATGACTTTTCCGCTTGGAAGTGAGGATGAGCTTGATTTGGCCGTCCTCACCAATGTCATTCGGATCCACTGCGGCAACCTCAACGGCCTGGCCTTTCGGCCGGCTGACCTTAGGCTGAGAGCCAGGGGGCAGGTCGAAGCTGATCAGGTCCTCCTCATCCGAAGAAGAAGACCAATCGATCACATCGTTGAGGCCGCTGACGGTCGCCGCGTGAATGTCGGGTTGCATCATCTTGCATCATCTGTAAGATCTTTGCTTCCTCCTTGACGGTGTCAAGGGGGTAGAGGGGGTTTGCCTCCTTTTCAGTCTCCAGGAAAATCTCACGCTTCGGCTCTTGCGCGGCGATTTCGTTGATCGCCTCCAACTCCCTCTCACGGACCTCATTGTCGAAAGGGTCCTCAGGGTTCTTTGCAATTGCCGGACCGCCAGTTTCCTGGGGTGTAGCGCCAACGATCGGGATAGATGTGTCAATGTTCATGTATTCCCTTTCGAGGCGGTACCAATTCATCGCCATTTCGAAGCGGTTGATTTGGCCAATGCAGTACCCGAGCTTGGCGGCGGCCACATAATAATTGATGTAGTGCTTCCTGTTCCGCTCGGTGTCATCGGTGTGGATGCGGTCAGCTCGAGACGTGTTGGATATGAGAGTCTGGGGGTCGAGGACGGTGATTCCCGCGGAACCATGCAACAAACGAGCATGCCCGTCCATCTGAGTCTTGTAAGATTCACTCAGTCCATACGTCTCATAGTCCCTCGGCACGATGAGGACGACCTGGACGACGTCTTCCCGAAAAGCAATATGGCGTAGCCGATCACGGACAGTCATCACCGCTCGGGCATTCCTTTCGATGATGTCCATCGCAGCCTTCCGCTTTGCCTCGGAATCAGTGGCCCAGCCCGCTAGGGCGGCGGGGTTGTCGATGTAACCGTTACGACCGACAACGTCATTCCCGGACCACGAGATCACGATGACGTACGGCCGGGGCTCAGGCCTTTCGGCGAGCTTTAGCATTGCCCGCTCAGCAGCGTCAAGAGATTCTGCTAGTCCTTTGCCCCATGTCATTTCGGACCAGACCTCGTGCTTGTGCCCAAAGAGCGTCCGCTTATTCTCCTTGAGGATGGTGCCAAC